AAATAAAGGCGCTTGTTCGCTTTCTTAATGAACTCTGAGATGTGTTCGTTCCATTTAAAACACTTAGTTATTGTAAAAAGGCCCCTGTGACTCGTCGGAAAAAGAAAGGCAGTACACAGCAAATAAACAGGTTTAATGTCCACAATCCTATCCAACAAAAACTCAAAATTAGAACGTTCCGTTTCTTTGTCAACCTCGAGGTTTTGGCGAAAATACTTAAAACAAGGCCACAACAAAACAAATCATGTACCAGTCAGGAATTTTCTCAACGTTCTCAACAGGTGTCTATTAACTCGTACACTTTACAATAAAACACCCCATACTAAAGTCACTTGATGGTATTACTTTATGGCCGATTTAATAACTTCCAAAAATCCAAGAAAAGAAAACCAATTGATTAGTGTATCCCCTCAGGCAAGAATAGCTACTGGGAACACGCAGAGAGAATTACTCTAAAAATTAGAGGGGGGCTTTCTCTCTCTTTCGAGATTTCTGTATAATACTCCGCCCAGGGACAGAGCAATGAAGGGCATTAGACACTTTGGGGTACCCTGTACACAGCCCGTTCTCTGTTAGCTTTCGACTATGTCTATAATAGATTTTGCAAGTGTAAAATATGTAATAAGGACGCGAGCGAATGGAGGGCGGCGCACTCACCCCTTTCGCTCGCGGTCAATAAATCCCCTCCGGCGCTCGGCTACCTCTAAAGAGAAATAGAGGGTGTGTGATCAGCCTATTTCGAGGAGGCCAGGCTGAGGGGAACCAGGGGGATTTGGAAACTCAATGAGGTGGATTAAATTCAGTTTTACAATTCAATTTGAAGTTACTACTTGAAAGGAAGCCTGCGTGCTGCTGTTTCGTGACTTCTTTCATGACTCCCCACAAACGGAGAGCTTACTCGCAGGCAATCACTGATGAAAGGGAATTTCACTGGTTGAAATAAAATAAAATGGAACAGAAATCTGTCGTTTCGGACCTTAAAAAGGCCTGAAAGGGCTAAGGGATGCATTTTACGGCTGTGATTCCAATGACGCGTTTTTGGCTACGCACGTTAACGCACGTAAATTTTAACGACGTAAATAATAATTATAGAGGCAAGATATAAAGTGCTGAGATTAAAAGTGAAGTTGACCGAGGTTCAATTTTTACGCTTACGAGCCACCGTTCATGCATTGTCTCTATTTTATTTGCGAACGTAAATTTTACGCAGGTACGCACCTAAAAATTACACGGCGGTGGAAATCAACCCTAAGTCGATGTGGGGGTTTATTCATATTAAAAAGACAGTGTATTTGTTGCAGTTTAAAGAGGTGCAGAGTTTTGAACTAGGTATGTAAAAGGGATACCATTTGTCTATAGAAAGTATCCCAAAGGGTACCTTTTCCGCAGGGCGGAGGTTCCCAGCGTTTCCAATCGAATTGTTGCACGAAAGTTGGTGAGAGAGCAAAAAAAAAAAAACTGGAAGCGGGAGGGAAGTTATACCAACTTTGACAACTTTCCCGGCGAACTTCCCCCCCGTCTTTTTAATATTGAGTCTGAGGCCAGATATGTTACCAAAAGTTTCTATTAAAATTACAGATTCTAAAAAGGATTCTTCGGAGCCGTCCAGGATTAGTGTCGTGTCATCGGCATATTGACTTAACTTGAAATCAATGCCGTTGATTTCTATGCCTTTAATCCTCTGTTTTTTCCGAATGGCGTCAGCAAGTATTAGTATCCCGGCGAACTTGGCTGGAAGGCTTGCTTCGCAGGCTAGAATTCCAATAACGTCTTATTGGACAAGTCAAATCGGGCTGTTCTGGTGCTGCATCAGATAGACAGAAGGTTAAGTTTACCGTGTTTGTCACAGCTTTTCTTCACTTTTTTCTTTCATCAATCTACGGTTGACCTAAGTAAGCGGCGATGATTATAGTAAAACGACTTTTACTGGTTATCTGTAATTTTCCACATTTTGTAAAAAACCCTTCTTATTGAACCAGTATAGGGAGGGGCTTATAGGTCTATTTACCATTTAGCCGCGGAAAAAAAATTAAAATGTGGATCGAATTTGGACATTGGAATAGATATTGAATAATTGAAAATAAGTCACTTCTATGAGATAAAAAATATCCTCGGAGAGAAAGAAGAACTATTGAAAAGCTAGCAAGCATTTATGAAAATAATCCGTCTACCCCAGAGAGTATAAAAACGAGCTTTATCCTGTCTTGGGAAGATGGATTATCCGAAAGTCCAGCCAAGCTCCTCTAATAACCATTCAGATCTAGTTTTTCTTGCTTTACGCTAGATTTTACTTCGTGTTCTTTATTTTTGATAACCCAAGTCTATGAAAGCTGGTTTTGTCTTCGTCATTTAATACAGTAAAACCCCGCCACTTAGAACCTGTTTTTTTTCCAAGTTAGACTCCTTCCAAACATTTTCTTATATAAATGGTGGTTAGCAAAAGTTTAGACTATTTATCGCAGGTTACACTAACGTCTGCTGAACCGAAAGACAAATTCCTTTCCCATTGTTCCCAAACATCAGTTGGAGAATTATCGCAGAGCCAATCAGCGCTAGTTAGGGATCGGTCATTATTTATGTAGAAGGGGGGAGAGGGAAAAATGTTGGAAAGACGAAAATTTCTCTAAGCCCCCCCCCCCGCCCCCCTTCTGTAGACCACGTAAATAGCAAGTGACCTCCCTTCTTTATTCAATATTTACGTGATGACCCCCCCTCCACCTCATATCTCCTCTTATATGGTCTAAAAAGTATTAAAATGCATGTAACATACTAATCATAAGATGATTTGTTAAATGTAGGAAAAGTGATAGATTTTACAAATCGTGCCCTAATGGTCAACACAAATGAATATACGTAATAACCAGGCAAAACACAACTCTCCTCTAAATCTCAGTTTGTCCCAACAAGAAAACACACAAACCTTGGGTGCGGCTCGCTTCAAGCCAAGCGCTGCCCAAACCGAACGCAAGATAGCCTGTGAACAGGGCAAGACCGAGATGAAAGACAAAACCAGCACGCCCAAATATATACCCCTACTAATTACCCACATACCAGCGCACACGCCAAAACCCGGGGGGAGCACTTAGGTTTTTTGGGTGGGTATGGGCCGCCCGGGACTCCAAATTGGCACCCCGTTCTAGAAAAAAATTTCCCCTAAAATTGATACCCCGTTCTAAAAATGGGCCAATTTTTTATTCCCCGTCTAGTATTCGCCCTAAAACTGATACCCCGTTCTAGAAATGGGCCAATTTTTTTATACTCCGTTCTAGGGTGCAACAAGAGTACAACAGTTTGCTTGTTAACGCATTGAACCGTATTTTTAAAAGCAATCTGTCCTTGAATACTTTCAAATGGCTGCTTAGAAAAGTGGAGCTTTCGTGCGTTCGAAATTTTATACCCCGTTCTAGAAAACGCCTCTGAAATGGATACCCCGTTCTACATCAGGAGCTTCAAAATCACGACCCCTTTGGGTGGCACATACCCGTACAGGTAATGTATGGGAGTACCCCCAGGGCGCCTAAACAAACATAAGATAGCGATGAGAGCATATTTTCCTGCTAATTACCAAGTCAAACGCAGGAAAATACTATTCTTTTGAAATGATTTTCCTACACTTGTAAAAGGACTACTTTCCTGTTGTTCCATCACGTTTATCATATCATTATTGTTTTTATCATGTTTTTCATGGGCTGTTAAGGTGACAAACATCTTATTAAAAGAAAATTTAGTCAAACCAAATATTAAAGGAGATAAGTCTGGATTCTTTATTAGCTAAAATTTGAAATGACAATGAACTTTAGAGTGCAAACAGGATATCTGTCCAATTTAAATGACTAAGTTGTACAAAATAGTGGTGCTTAACAAAAAGCAATAGGATTAGCATAAAATTGTACAATTGAGCAGTACTGTTTCACATATATTCTATACACCCTACTATTTAACTGCTTTACCCATCTTGGCCAATTGTCCCCTGTTAAAATATACCTCGCGAAACTGCTGACCCCCCTAAACTTTTTTATAAAAAAGTTTAGCCCCCCACATCAAGCCAATCTGAATTAGCCCTGACCCCCCCCCTTTCTTTTTTCCCCTCTCCCCCCTCTACATAAATAATGACCGGTCCCTTAGCGGGACAGGAACGCGTGACGAACCCTTACGAACGTCTGCGGGGAGGCTAAATAAATTGTAGCTGAAAGTATTTAGTGGTTCTCACTTAAACTGTCTACTTTATGCCGATGATTTACTTCTAATATCTATCTCGGCAGAAGGTTTGCAACAAAGTCTTGACAGACTATCAAAATATTGTCAGGATTGGCTTCTTAAGATTAATCCAACTAAAACCAAAGTTATTGTATTTCAGAAGAAAAGTAGAAAATCAGCAATAGATAAACACAATTTTATGGTTAGCAATGAAAACATTGAAATTGTCAATAATTATACCTATCTTGGAGTGAAATTTTCTGCCAATGGAAATTTTACAAATCACAAGGAAAACTTAACAGAAAAAACAAAGAGATCCTTTTTTCCCGCTCGTCGTTATTTAGATTTTCTAAAATTACCAATTCACATCGTCAACAAACTGTTCAATACAATATTTTTCCCAGTTTTAACGTAGTGCTCTGAAGTTTGGGGAATCTATGATAAAAGTGATCATAGCCGTGGGATAAAGACTCGATTGAGAAAACGCATATACATTTTTGTAAGATGTGTTTAGGTTTAAACAAACGTTCACCGAATGTTGCATCGAGAAATGAACTTGGTAGATTATCTCTAAATTTACAAATAACAATGAACATTTTCTTCAAGTTTTGGATTCACCTTGAAAACTCTGCTTAAACATATCGGATAAAATGGCCGAAGAAAATAAATCAGGTCTAATAAATAAAATAAATCTTTTGAGTACACAACTTAATATTCATAAACAATCAGTTAACTTTAAAAACCCTTCTACTTTCCTATCCAAAGCTGAGAATAATTTGTCAAAACATCTGAAAAACTACCAGCTAAATTTGATAAGAACACATAAAAAACTAAAATTCTACTCCATCTTTAAAAATGAAACAAATCACTCTGAATTCATCAATCATATCCGGAATCCTGAACATAGGCGTGTAGCTTCCAAATTTAGGATAGGAAATCATAATTTAAAAATAGAAACTGGAAGATTTACAATCCCCAAAACTCCTGAAGACCTTAGAATCTGATCATTGCAACCAAAATTCGGTTGAAAATGAACTGCACATATTATTTCACTGTGATCAATACAATGATTTGAGAAAAACTCTTTTTATTAAAATCAACGACCGAAATACATTATTTACCAATTACAATATCCATGATAAAGTCTGTTTTCTTTTTAACAATACTGATTCACAAATCAGCAGGCTAGAGGCTAATTTCATCTTTCAAGCATTTGAAAGACGAAAGAAATTGTTGTTTTAGTCGGTAACACCCGTACAAAATGGTAGTACTGAATAAACTTGTTGTTGTTGTTATTCCTCATTAGCTTGCGTGGCAAGCGTGTCTGCACGAGTTCGTCGAGAGAAGTTGGGGCGAGAGCAAAAATAAAAGGAATGACGGGGGAGGGGGAGGGGGAGGGGAAAGAGGGAAACGCTTGCCCGCAAACCCCACGATTTTGAAAAACTGCGTTCGCCCACGAACGCAGCTTCCGATTGGTGCGGTGCTGGTAGTGTTGATATACTTAGCACTCGAAACATCAATCAAACCAGGTATGCTTTGTTTACGTGAGCCACAGATTTGGTCTTATCTGATTTGTTGTCGCAGATTACAATTGCTTTGGACTGATATTGAATCGTGTTTTGCGAAAGTTTACGAGATCAGAGTCTTTAAAGTATAATGGGAGATAGAGCAGTGGAGATTAGGGAAGGCCAATTTATTGCGAATGACGACGTGCGGATCTGATTGGAAAAAATGGACCGTTTGTGGGAGATAACATCAGCGTAAATCAGAATATCGGTACTAGACCACAGGCAGACCACCCTCTGTTAGTGGGGGCCCTTTGTTGATTGAAATCTGAGCAACGATCTTTTGTTATTTATAGAAGAAATACATGTGAACAATACGATGGCTATAATTTGTTTAAACTGCAGAATTTAAAGCAAATGTTTCAATAACTAACCGCCGAGGTCAAATATTCGTCTCCCAAAATAGCCCTTAAAACAGCGCGGGACGGGGAAAAAAACATGGCAAAAGACTCAGTTAACATTTTCTTCAAACTTTTATTGAAACATTTGCTTTAAATTCTGCATTTTGGAACAAATTATAGCCACCGTATTGTTCATACGTATTTCTTTCTGTAAATAACAACAGGTTGTTGCTCAGATTTCAATCAACAACGGCCCCCACTAACAAAGGGTGGTCTGCCTGTGACTAGACACTAGCTAAAGCCGCCATGGACAAGCGATTTGTCAGCTTTTTGAAATGAAAAGATTGTTTTTGTTTATTGGAAATTTAGGGGCAAGTATTGTAGAGAACGCTTCGACAAGGGCTTAAGAGCAGCCGCTCTACAAAACTTATAGCCGGCGGAGTGAATTGTTCCGCACAAATTCATTTTTGCCGTTTCGACAAGGTTTCAGACGAGATAATACCCTGCGAGCAGAGGCCCGTCAATCTTTCTAGATAAGTCGGGAAGAGGAAGGGAGATCGAAGGGCCTCTGCTCGCAGGGTAACGATATAAAGCAACACATTAAAGAACAAGAAATTCCGCAGCGATCGCTCAGAGTTTTAACCTTCTTTTATCGTAAACCTTTTTTATTACAGTTTTTGCAGTCGCCTGGAACGTGTTCTATTAGACAGGGTCGGCCAGGGTTTTTGGGTACACGGTATACCGGGGCTTTTTAAATGGGGTATACGGTATATTGCAGCTTAAATACGGGTATTCGGTACATCACTTTCTTTGAATTTCAGGTATAAAGTATACCTGGGTATAATTTTGGGTATATTTGGATGAATTTTTGGTATTTTTGGGTATTTTGGCGAATTTTTTTCGGGTATACTGGTATACCACTACCCCCCCTGGCCGACCCTGATTAGAGAACAAAGCAATTTTACAAATCTGGTAATCCAGGGATAATCTGTTCGTTATACTTCTATTTTGACAAGCTGTCAATTTAAAAATGAACCGAACCGTGAAATTTCAAGGGGCGTTTTCCAGAATCGTGGGGTTCGTGGGCAAGCGTTTCCTCTTCTCCCCTCCCCCTCCCCCTTCCACCTTTTTTTTTTTTTGCTCCCGCTCTAACTTTGGCGCAATAACTCGATTGGAAACGCTTGCTACGCAGGCTAATTCCTCATAAAAAATCTGCCAACCAAATTGATCTAATTGACGGCATTGGCATAAATGTTGCAGTCGGAGTGATAAGGCATACCTTTGTCTCCAAAACAATCAAACGAACAAAACAATCGAGCTTTGAGCAAAATCGAGCTTGGGTCCCCAGTCCGCACGGGTTTCTTAACTTTCCCCAGGTTTCTCTCACAATGTAAAATCAAGATGGCGGCCATCGCATCATTTCATTTGTGAATCCTTGAGCTCTTGGTTTCATCTTATTTTCCTTCGTGTAATTTGGTCAAAACGACAAGGTCCTGTTACTGAAGGTAAGAAAATCTTGAATACACTATGGGTACGCTAGTTGTGATAGTGAAATGCTGATTCGGTACCGATGACGAACACACTGACGACTTGAACAAGACCAGAGACTAGAGGCACATTTATAAAAGTGTAAAATTTTAAGGTCTTAAACAGAAGTGGCTCGGTGGCTCGCTAGTCACGACAAGTGTTTAAAGAACGAGAAAGATATAAGACATATAAGTATAAGACAGACATAGAAGGCATATACTTTAGTATGTATTATAGCAGATTATAGGTGTATATTTTAGTGGCTCGGCGGCTTGGTGGCTCTTCAGTCGAGGTTATATAGTTTAGTGGCTCGACGGCTCGGCGGCTCGTTAGTCAGGACTACCGAGCCACCGAGCCACCCCAACGAATATGCCTAGAAAATTTGCCCTGTATTCTGTAGTTAAGCCGTAAATGAATTTTGCTACAAATGTATCTGTCCAAAGCCACATAAATAATGTACTTGTCTTCCCGTAATAACATTTTTGCCAGTTTAAATTTCCATGTACTTTAACAGTTAAAATTATCAATTATCAAAATCAATTTTAATTGGTGCTTTACAGCCTCTCAGGGGAGCTTATTTATATATATCAAACTTATTTGAGGGGGTGGGGGGGGGGAGAGCTAATACACGTTGAGATTGGAGGGCTTATTTGAGGGGAGGGACTTATTTGATAATAAGAAAAGACAATGGGATCAGTGCTTGATAAAGAATTATAACACAAAGTGGAAAAGCTCAAGTACAAGAAGTTGAAGGTCCTGCTGCGAAGGATGAAAAACAAATCCAAACTTCCAGTTGGTGGATAAACCACAGGCGGCCCAAACTCGTTACATGAACGCGGACGTGACTCTTGCTTGCGAACGGTGTTGTGTTACAAACGGTTATTTACAAAGGCTTGTATGGGAGCGATCGGTTTTTCTTAAAAGAGATAAAAAATGTTATGTTTTTAAATAAAATTAACGTACCTTATTGCCTTGTTGTATTCTTTGTTGTTTGCCCGCATCTCAGGCCGTTTTGAAGCGTTTTCGGCGAGTTAGCACTATTTTGTTTAGCAGTGGGACACGAAAATAGCACTAACTTGCCGAAAACGCTTCAAAACGGCCTGAGACGCGGGCAAACAACAAAGAATACAACAAGGCAATAAGGTACGTTAATTTTATTTAAAAACATAACATTTTTTATCTCTTTTAAGAAAAAACGATCAATCCCATACAAGCCTTTGTAAATAACCGTTTGTAACACAACACCGCTCGCAAGCAAGAGTCACGTCCGCGTTCATGTAATGAGTTTGGGCCGCCTGTGGATAAACCATCCTGGATCTGTCCACATGAAGTTTAACAGTCGTGATTGATTAATAAAGTCTGTTATCTATTTATAAAGAATAATAATAGAGGATAGGAAGGAGGGCTTAATAGGTTTTATTAACTTTCTTCCTCTGAAAGGCGGGGGGGGAGAGGGGGTATTGAGATGGGGTTAATAGAGGATTTACTGTACTTAGATAAAAATCCATTAAAATCCATAATAGATTATCAATAATTTAATAGCAGCAGTGTTTTCCTTTACCAATTTTTATCTATTTCAAATTTATTCAACTTATTTTATCAATAGTTATTGATTGTTATTGATTTTCAACTTTATTGATGTCACTTGTCAGGATAAATATAAAAACAATTATTATCTGCTTGAGTAGAACACACCTTGCTAATAGCCCCCTTAAGTCTATTTAACAAGTGGCATTTTAAAAATTGTATATGACCAAAACTTTAATTTTTAACACTTCAAAACATGTATCGGAAATTAGCAATCATCAAAAAACTTGAAATGCTATTTTTTCTTCCTCTTCAAAACACACACATGTAACTTAAAAAAAGTCTGCCCTTTCACGCAGACAAATTGGCACGTATGATGTAGAATAAATTGCTTCTCGACTCAACATGGCAGCAAATACATTGTAAGAATTGTCATTGTCAAGAACCCCCTCAATCATCTTCACAAACACAAATTAATGACCAGAATCATACACCTGAGGTGGGTAAGAAAATTGGAAGAGGTATTGGCCTCCTGTTTAAAGTTAGATATTTTGTCACTAATGATATTCTCATCCAATAATAAATTATTATATTACTCCTTAGTGTTCCCTTTCCTAACTTCTGGCTTAATTTTTTGGGGTAATACTTATTCTACAACTCTAAGCCCTGTTGTTAAGCTTAATAGAGTGCTGTGCTGATTGATGGTAAAACAGGTTCCACTATGCTGTATTGTCTGTATTAATGCTCTATAATGAGCCTTTATCAGCAATAATTATTGTAAATGTGTGTTATTTTACAAACCACAGGGGATTCTCAGATCTGAATACAAAGTCAACATTAGATTAACTGCCTCCTGTCAATGAAATCTCCCTTTTGAAGCAATCATTTAAATCTTAAGGAATGCAATCACATGGTGCATGGTCGGAAACCACTTTTCTTTTGAGCGATTGTCCTTTACATTTTCTAATTTGTTTTCCAAATTTATCTGACAACCTTTAAACTATTTGTTCCAGACCTTAGTTTTACCAGCTGCCCACAAAGTTTGTTCAATACATTGGCCAAAAAATACTAATAATTGTACATTTACCTGATAATGTTCCTCCTCCTTGTTAAAAGGTACCATAACTATAATACCTTGAAAGAAGAACAAGCTCCATGTCTTTTGAGTGCCAGCAGTGCGGCAAATGTTTTTCCCAAGCAGGAAAGCTGAGGAATCATGAAAGAGTTCACACTGGGAAAAAGCCTTACGAATGTAAACAGTGTGGCAAGTGCTTTAGCCAAGCAGGAACCCTAAGGTTTCATGAAAGAGTTCACACTGGGGTAAAGCCTTATGAATGTAAAAAGTGTGGCAAGTGTTTTAGCCAAGCAGGAACCCTAAGGAAACATGAAAGAGTTCACACTGGGGTAAAGCCTTATGAATGTAAACAGTGTGGCAAGTGTTTTAGCCAAGCAGTAACCCTAAGGTTTCATGAAAGAGTTCACACTGGGGTAAAGCCTTATGAATGTAAACAGTGTGGGAGGTGTTTTAGCCAAGCAGGAACCCTAAGGAAACATGAAAGAGTTCACACTGGGGAAAAGCCTTATGAATGTAAAAAGTGTGGCAAGTGTTTTAGTCAGGCAGGAAGCCTAAGGAAACATGAAAGAGTTCACACTGGGGAAAAGCCTTATGAATGTAAACAGTGTGGCAAGTGCTTCAGCACAACAAGCAATCTAAGGGCTCATGAAAGAGTTCACACTGGGAAAAAACCTTTTGATTGCAAACAGTGTGGCAAGTGCTTCAGCACATCAGGCAATCTGAGAGCTCATGAAAGAGTTCACACTGGTGAGAAACCTCATGAATGTAATCAGTGTGGCAAGTGCTTTAGGACAGCAGGACAATTAATTTGTCATAAGAGAGTTCATACTTTGGTTTATGAATGTAATCAATGTGGAAAGCGTTTAAGGCGGGCAGGGAACCTAAGACATCATAAGAGAGTTCACACTGGGGAAACGCCTTACGAATGTAAACAGTGTGGCAAATGTTTTAGTCAAGCAGCAAACCTAAAGAGTCATGAAAGGGTTCACACTGGGGAAAAGCCTTATGAATGTAAACAGTGTGGAAAGCGTTTCGGCCGATCATGGGACCTGAGGAAGCATGAAAGCATCCACACTTTATTAAAGTCACGTAAATTTGTCCAGAAAAAGGAAATTCTGCCTAATCGTTTGGAATCATGTAAGCAGAGGAGAGCGGGGGCTAAAAACGTTGATGTTAGGGCCACAGGCTTTACAAACAACCAGCGAACACACAGTGAGACTGGAATCCGTGGTGTAGCAGACCCACAATCAGTCATCATCATTGAGAAACACAGCTGTTGGATTTGTCAAGAGGAGATGAGTAGTGAAGCTCTTCTTCTTCAACATTACGAGCATCATATGACCTATATTTGTGAAGATGGTTCGTAAAAGTTAAAATGCGTTTCAGTTATCAGTTGTACGTTTCTACTTTTGATCAGATTAAAACAGTCGGCTTTTTTCTCAAAAGTCTCTCCCCAGTCTCGCTCTCTGTTTTCAGTCTCGTTCCAGACCTTTTGTTTGACTGTTCGCGCGTACTTGAATACGCAAAAATACGGACTGTTTTGCAGTCTACAACTGAAGTGTTTCTGAAATCACAGCTAAGAAACCATAATAAAAACAAGACTGAAGGATATGGACGAAAGTGAAAAAAGCATTCCTTAAAAATATTTCATTCTATGATTCGTAAAGCGTGAAGTCATAAATGCGTGCCTTTGGAGAATTTCCATCGGTACTAAATTTGACAAATCGACAACAATTTTTCCATGGTCTGTTTGTCGCCAAGGTGTTCAAAACTCAAGTGAAGCCAGGAGCCGAAGCCGAAAATTTTCACTTCAAGGTTTGGAACATTTTGACGTAATTTTATGGGAAATTGTCGTCGATTAGTTTTTTTACGAGATCATTGACAGTTTGTGACGTCCATTTCTTTCGAAACGTTTCTCGGAAAATAGCACGCGGAAGAACGAGAAAACAAAAATTGCTCGTCAGCGGTTTTTCCCTCTTTTAAACAGCTCCTGCTAAGCAATTTTCCCTTCAAGTCAGCCGTGTGTCTGTAGTCTAATAGATCATTAGCAACGACCAATCACAGCGCGCTTAGCATCCACCACTTTGTATAAACTATTTCGACCATAGCTCTCGACCATTGACTTGACTTGACCAATCAGCGACGGAGCTCCCATAATACCCCGCCCAGGAACAGAGCAATGAAGGGCATTTGGCAGCCCATTTGGGGTGGCCTGTACACAGACTTTTTGTTCTTTTTCTTTTCGAAAATCGACGAAAAACAGGTCTGTTAGACCCCCTTGCACTTATGAAGCGGTATCGGGGTCAAAAATAACTCGATGTCTATTTTTGATGTCACCTTGTCTACTTGTTGTGTCGTCTTGCCGATTATTCATGTCGTCTTTTGTACTTGTCATGTCGTCTTGTCTCCCCGTTGCTTTTTTTTTGTCTATTTCGGGCATATCCTAAAAGCTGGACTGGACTCTGGACTCTAGAAAAAAGATTTAGAACATACCTTTTGTTAACAGGTCAGGCCTTAGACTTCTCATTAAATTAATTGTTGCCAGCGGAGGAGACACGTAACTGTCAGCAATGTCTGTAAGAAAATTATTTGTGTCGACAGCTTTGTCGCGTTTTAAAACACCTAACATCTTATGTCTTACAAACAAAAAAGGCTTTTTTCGTGCTCATAATTTTTGAAATCTGTACAAAAACTCCAATTTTTTTTCAGTTTTTTTGTTTGTTTGTTTTTTTTTATGTCCGTGTGCTATTACTTAAATTAGAGACTAGGACCTGAATGTGTGCTTAAAAGTATATACATCTAAAACAGGCCTCGTAGTTCTCTGTATTACCCACTTTAAAAAAAGTAGTTCATTAGCTAGGGACAATATACGTTCTCCAAAATAACCCTGCACAAAGGGGCTAACACGTTCGAAAGCCTTATAATTTTAAATGCCGAGTTCAGTAAGACCGACGTGCTTGTTCAGTTGATTATCTGATTACCTGAGACTCACAGGGTAATTTTTGAAGGTGTGGAACATTCTATTTCTCTGGTGGATAGCTCTTTTCGACTTCTCTTAGTCCCTGATCCTTGTACAGCCTTACAAAACATAATTTCTTGTTTCTGCGTGTTCGACCATAAAAACCTTATTTCTCTTTCTTTTTCTACAAAATTTTAAAAGTGGTTAAGGAGGGTGATTCCGGAGTTATTTTTTGCTCCAGAGTCCAGAGTCCAGTCCGGGTCTAGTCACCAAGCCACAGGGAGACAAGACGCCAGAACAAGTTGTCTCCCTTGCAGACGTTTTTCTTTGGGGGGGGGGGGGCGTTGCGTGACATCCACAAAACGGCTGCGAGGGAGACTACAGAAAAAGTAGACAAGACAACATGACAAGTAGACAAGAGGACATAGAAAATAGACGTCGAGTTATTTTTGACCCCGATACAGCTCCACTTGCGCTAGCGGTTAATAAATCCCCCGCGGCGCTCGACGACCTGTAAAAAGAAGTAGAGGGTGTGTGAACAGACTTCTTTGGGGAGGCCATGCTAAGGGGCAGGCTTAAGGCTCAGCTAGGCTCACGAATAGGGAAAACAAGGACTTGTCAAATAATCCTACGTAGCTACGACGAAGTAAATCAATTTTACTGTAGTGCGGAAGCGAGAAATACTCAAAAATCAACTACTTCAAAACTAACTCACCACGAACCCACGAAGGACTGGTTATTCAAAGGGATTTTAGCCACTGTTGAACAAAAGTGCGTTCCAATATCAGCCACTTTTAATTTGCCCATTGCTTTTATCTCTGAAATAATTCATGAATGAAACTTTTTGTCAGTAGACGAAATCAACTGTATTTTGTAGTCTCGTTATTTTTAATGTTAGATTTTCAGTTCAGTTCAGTTTATGGTTTTGCCATAAGTTGTACAAAAGCAACAAAAAAAATCTAATTATTTAAACTCTCATGGCGAGGAAGCCCAAGAGAAGTCACCGGGCTTATAAGGAATGGGCTCCCTTAGTTAAATAATCAGAACAAAATATTATCATAATTACACATGGAAAAATCAATGCAAGAGCTACGGTAAATCATAGAATATATTAGATAGTCGCACTAATCATAGTTATAGGCTAAAAAAAGCGAAATGACTCTGTAAATGTTTAAACTAAGACAAAATGCTGATAGAAATGTTTAAGCTAAGACAAAAATGCAGTAGAGGAAACGCAATGAGAAAAAACATTACAAATTGACGGAGCGGAAAAATACACGTCCACCGCCTTGTGCGCCATGTGTTAGAGAGATTTATATTGTAACAGTATTTAAAGAAAAGATGGACGGGTTAGTCAAAGGGATTGTAGCCACTGTTAAACAAAACTGCGTTCTATTATGGGCCCCTTTTAGTTTGCCCAGCGCTATTATCTAAACTCCATTTATCATAAACAGTTGAATGAAAGCTTGTACTGTAGACTACAAACGCTTTTTTCTTCTAAAAATATTCCACTTAGGAAGTTGGAGATTCAATTATTTCTTCGAGTCTTTTTAACCAAGGTAACTTTGAGACTCGGTGAGGAGGCTTAAATTCAGGATTACAGTTCAATTTTAAGTTACTACCTCTTGATCTTTACGACAGGCTATAAATATGTCAAAAGATGCCTGCGAGCAAGCTCTCCACAGGGGCACCCAACGACAACTTTCGGCATGATATCTGCTCGGAAGACGATTTGAGATCTAGAATTTTCGGAACATTTTTTCCAAAATTTCTTGCTTGTCTGTCTCTCCTAGGATTTTCGAATATCTGAAAAATGGTATAATTGCCCATTTTTAACTGTTTTTTACCCTAAAAAGGTCACCTACAATTTTCGGGAGCCTTTTTTCTGGCTAAAATTTTCGAAAAGGGAAGTTTTGATCCCTGTAATTTTCAAATCACTAGACTTTCAGCTAGGAAATCCGATCAGATGAAAAATTTTTAGGGGATAAAAATATGCCTATATCTACCGTTTTAATACTAAAATACGTTTGACAATGCTATGTTTAAGTGGTTTTGAACTATATCCTCGTTGGGTGCCCCTGTCTCCACAAGGAGCACGCGAGCGAGCGGTTCCTGCTGGCGCGTGCTGCTGTTTCCTGACTTCTTTGACTTTCTTTCGAGACTCCCGTTACACGGAGAGCTTGCTCGCAGGCTGTATGGAAGGGTAGCACTGAATCAGTTCACTAGTTCAAATAAAAAGAAAATTAAGGGAAATCTGTCCTTTCGGACCTTAAAAAGTCGTAAAGATCTAAAACTGAGATGCATTTTATGTCTCTGAACAAGACGATTTTGTGCGGGTTTATTCATATTTAAAAGACGGGGCATTTACAGCAGTTTAAAGATTATTAGCCTGTTACGCGCAAGGTTATAGCAGGCTATTGGATTTCAAAAAGCTCTAATCTCAAGGGGAGGCTCCGCCCTGCAGAAGAGGTCCCCTTTTGAAATACGTTTTATTGACAAATGGTATCCCCTTAACATACTTAGATTAGAACTATGCACCTCTTTAAACTGCTATAAATGCCCTGTCTTTTAAATATGAATAAACCCGCACAAAATCGTCATCAGAAATGGTAATAAAATGAAATCTTCACTATTTTTTGTGTAGACATATTAAAAACTGATTTGTTCGTTGCACCAATTAAAATCTAATTGCTGTGGTGTTGACTAGTCTTATTTATTTTTTTAGTGTTTTTACCATGATTATGCAACAAGAAGAACTAACTGGATGGCATCTGAGTGGAGTTACAAGAGCCAGAATTCGGGTTATCGGGGTAAATTTTAGCGCGAATTTTTGAGTCAAGAAAAGGAAAGGAGATTTTGAGTTAGAGGGGAATTATTCGAGTATCCGAGTTCGAGTTAACGGCCGAGTAAAATGAATGAAGAGTTGGATGAATTCCAAGGGAAACTGTACTTAGTTCGAGTTATCCGAGTTTGAGATATCGGGGTTCTACTCTACAAATGAAGGCAAAAAAGCCTGTGAAGTTAATCGTGCAAACATCTTTTGCAGAAAAATTAAAGCAGAAGGGAGCGTGACCTTCTAAAACATCTTTTCTTCACTGGCCCACTTTTGTGTTAATAGTATCGGTAATGCCATGCAGCCCGACCAATAAAGGCAAGTAGTAGAATCTTTGTAGCTGAGCGAAAAAGGCCAATCGAGAGTGCAACCTGGCTTCTTGGGTTTTTGATTGTCATCGTAGTCGAGCCCGCAACGTTAAAAAAGTAGGTGCTTTTGCAAATTGATGGGCGCCAAAAAAGGGTGCACTTTTCAGTTTAATTTATTTTTTTTAGTCATTCTGCATATATTAAATTGTGCATAATTATGTCATTCCGCAAACTCATTCCGCCTTTTACCCTCATCGCCCGCGGAGCAGTTTCAAAGTGCGGGGGCCGATCCACCTCTTTTGAAGTGTAGTCGTGGGAGGGGGGGGGGGTTGTGGGGTTGTGGACTTTTAAAATGGTTTACCTGGTGCCGACTCAATATCTTTTAATACAGTTACAACTCATCAATCATGTTTTTTATAAGTTTAACAAACGAAAAGGGGTTAGTAACAAAAAAAGTGTAACCATGCGCAGCAGCATCATAATTTTCTCGTATTTCACTCACTTTCAAAGTTTGTCCGTTCCCTCTTTGTGGCTGTTTAGGACCTTTTTTAACCATTGTTGAACGGAGCCACGTTTTTAACCTTCGAGCTGCCGAAAAGGACCTTTTTCTCCTGCGATGGTTGCAGGATTTACCAGCAGAAGCTTGCAAATCGGAACAAATTTATTTATCATGCTATGCTAAGGCAATTCCTGAAACGTCTTCATGTCTACGATGTCATCGAGTTCCATTTTTGTTTTAAGAAATCGCAGCCCCATGGAGATTTAAGAAACTTGATAAGAAAAGACTCTATTGTTTGTGCGTATACTACATCACCTGGCTGGTGAAAACGCAGAAGTCTACAGCTGAGTGTAGTTTTGTAAAGATAGTCATTTAGTGATAAAGGATCGAAACGGACCAAACATAAATTTAGATGCTTTGGCGAGGTCTGTCGGTCTAATATTCTTATTCCATCAAAGATTCCTTTTATTAGAAAATGTGTATTTCTTAATTTAATTCAATTTCTTTTTCAAAAAGGGGGGAGGGGGGACCTGCCCCCCCACAGCCCCTTCCCCTGCGCGGGGCCTGACGGAAGGTGTTCTGTTTTGGGTTCTTTCCGTGTCATATTGATGTCTTGCAAAGTTGATTTTAACGTAGTACGATCAGCTTTGCAGAATTCAGTGTGCCTACTCAGCGTATATTTTTGCTGCTCAGGTCTTCTATCGATTCTACATTTTGCGGCATATTCGTTTGCGGTCCTTTGCAGTTTGAAAGTCATTTTTTTGCCCAAAAAATAGCTCAAGGAGGGAAAAAAAGTAGCCTCCCTGGGGAGCAACTTACACGCTGTCACTTGATTCAGGGGCACCCATTCACGGTTTCTTCCTAAATACACAGAAAAGTCATTTTAGGCTATCCAGTACTTTTACGGCACTCTCCAAAAGTCAGAAGTGGCTGAGCAATATTTAGGTTCTATGTAGCAGGTCAAATCAAAAGAAATACAACGAGAAAATAGAAACAAACAAAGAAGGAAGAAGTTATTTACATGAAGTATTTGCTTCATCCGAAATACGAAAATTTCTTTCATTTGTTGTTCTGACAGTAGATAGTGTATAATTTTCTTCGGAGAATAGTCTCTGGATGCCTCTGTCGATTGTAAATGCTTGCCACAAAGGTTATGAAGATAACGACGATGCATCCTGGGGGAGGGTATACTCCCATATGTGGAATATACGGGGATGTGCCACTTGACAGAGTATAGTTTTTGTCCGCCGTGTGCTAAAAGGGGTATATAATTTCGCGTTACTCATTCTAAACAGGGTATATAATTTCTTGCGAGTCTATAGGATATCGCATGTACTGAAAGTATGCAAAAGTAATTGCGATTGCCAACATTGAATTGAGTTGAATTCGTAAAGGATTACATTTCAGAAAAAGAAAGGAAAATTTGTCCTCATGCGTTTAAAGTCGTCCATGAAACGTCGCATTATTAAATCATGATGGCCTGATCGTGCAGTTTCGGAAAGGAGATGTACTAAAAATAATGACTAACGGAGTTGATGTTTCAATTACGTAGTACAAATTTGAATCAACTGACTATTTATAAGTACCAAAATGTAATGAAGATTACACTTAAGTAAACTTTATAAAACTCACTGATAAGTCATAAAGAAAAAAAAAACAAATTAATGAATATTGTTTTCGATAAAAGGTCATAGAAATTGACCTTAATGGTTGTTCTTCTTGATGAAAAAACCTTAAATAACTATGCCACGAAATTAAATGTTTGCATTCCATGGTTAAACTGTTTATACATTAAGTAACGAAATGTACTGAAGATTACACTTAAGTAAACTTCATAAAACTCACTGATAAGTCATAAAGAAAAAAAAACAAAATAAATTGATGAATGTTATTTTCGATATAACGTCATAGAAATTGACCTTAATGATTGTTCTTCTTCATGAAAAAACCTTCAGTAACTATGCCACAAAATTAAATGTTTGCATTCCTGGGTTAAACTGTTTATACATTAATTAAAATGAATAATATTTTCACGTTAATAAAAATAAATTTCCCGGTAATGAAGGTCACAAGGTGTAAATCTTGTTGCACTAACATCAACTTCTTCAGCCAAAAAATAAGAGAGACTTTCCTCAGGGGCACCCAGCGACTGCTTTCTGTAAAATATCTGTTCGGAGAAGCAAAAATTGCCTAAAACTCTCTGTAGCTTGAAAAAGGCTAAAAATTTCTAGATGACCGTTCCATTTATGTACAATTTTCGTAGCATATCTAATAGACGATTTTCTTAAGTTTAATTTCGCATTTCAGTCCCAAAGTTAGGCTATTTTCGTAGAAAAAGGAAACCTGAAATTTTCGGATTGGAAAATGCGACGAAGAGAAGAATAATAAAAATTCTCATTTTAACTTCAACTTAAAATTGCATTCAAAATTTTCTGCAAATAATACCGAAGCCCTTGTAATTTTGAAAAGACTCAAGTTGCCCTAGGACGACCGCACAGATATGAATTTTACAGCGCAGCTTAGAATGCATTTCTAGAGATCTGAAAGTACTCTGGATAGCCTAAAAAGGGTTTTCAATGCATTTAGTAGGAAACCGTCGTTGGGTGCCCCTGTTTCCCTTCTGTGAGAATATTTACGTGACCCTTTTGAAGTATGCATTTTTTCATGTCTTCCAAGTTTTCCGCTTTCTGTAAAACACTTGCTATGAATTTCTCGTTCCTAAGGCTTTTCCTTAGTGTGAACACTTTAACGATCACTTGGGTTTTGAATTTGGATAAAACACTCGCCACACTGTTAACGTTATGGAGGCTTCTCTCCAGTGTGAACTCGTTCATGCCTCCTTAGGGTTCTGCTTCGCTAAAACTTTTGCTAGGCTGTTTAAATTTCTAAGGCTTTTCCCCAGTGTGAACTCTTTCGTGGGTCCTTAGGTTTCCTACCTGGCTAAAACACTTGCTACACTGTTAACATTCATACGAATTTTTGCCGAGTGTGAACTCTTTTATGACTGCTAAGGTTTGAAAAGCGAGTAAAACACTTTCCACACTGTTTACATTCATAAGGCTTTTCCCCAGTGTGAATTCTTTCATGACTCCTTAGGGTTCCTACTTGAGTAAAACGCTTGCCACACTGTTTACATTCGTACGGCTTTTCGCCAGTGTGAACTCTTTCATGTCTCCTTACGTTTGATACGCGAGAAAAGCACTTGCCACATTGCTTACATTTGTAAGGCTTTTCCGTAGAGTGGACTGTTTCGTGTCTCCTTAAGCTACATACATGGCTAAAACACTGGTTACACTGTTTACATTTATAGGGCTTTTCCCCAGTGTGAACTCGTTCATGTCTCCTAAGGTTTCCTACTGTGTAAAAACACTTTTTGCACTGTTTACATTCGTAAGGCTTTTCCCCAGTGTAGACTCGTTCATGAAGCCTTAGGCGTGATAAGTGTTTAAAGCACTTGCCACACTGTTTACATTCATAAGGCTTTTCCCCAGTGTGAACTCTTTCATGACTCCTTAGGTTTCCTGTTTCACTAAAACATTTGTCACATTGTTTACATTTGTAAGGCTTTTCCCCAGTATGAACTCTTTCATGACTCCTTAGGTGTGTTGCTGTGCCAAAGCACTTGCCACACTGTTTACATTCATAAGGCTTTTCCCCAGTATGAACTCTTTCATGTCTCCTTAGGGTTCCTGTTTCACTAAAACACTTGTCACACTGTTTACATTTGTAAGGCTTTTCCCCAGTATGAACTCTTTCATGTCTCCTTTGGTCTCCTGCTTTACTAAAACATTTGTCACACTGTTTACATTTATAAGGCTTTTCCCCAGTGTGAACTCTTTCATGTGTTTTAAGGTTTCCTGCTTTGCTAAAACACTTGCCACACTGTTTACATTCATACGGCTTCTCCCCAGTATGGACTCGTTCGTGTTCTCTCAGGTGTCCTGTGTCTCTAAAGCATTTGTCACAATGTTTACATTTGTAAGGCTTTTCCCCAGTGTGAACTCTTTCATGTCCTGTTTCGCTAAAACACTCGCTAGAGTGTTTAGAAGAAAAAGACATTTGGCTAGTGCCTCTGGTATCGTCTTCTGGTTAAGTTTCCTATCAATATAATAAAAGTTAGTCATTGGAAAAACTTTGAAGGAAGTTTAACTCGCTTTTTTAAGACATATCGTATACCTGAAAAATGATAGAAAGACCGCCCTCAAACACTTCTAAACAAACCATGTCTCTCACATGGGTTTGATTTTTTTAAACAGTTTACTTTTGTAGACATTACCTCCATTTTGGAAGAAAAATGAAGGTAATCTTTCTTCAAAACCACAATGGCTGTGCAAAAGCAGTCACCCCAAAACAAGTTACTATCAGTAATATTAGTCAATTCTTGCTGTGCTTATGCACACACAAGGATATTGCTGTTTTAGGTCAATTATGAGCTGAACTCATTACCCAATGTCTTCACTCATATACAAAAAATGCCCCTGTAGAGTTATGAAGAAGATAACAACAAGGTCAGCAGTACTGACACCTCCTCTACATAGAACACGGACACTTGGATGCCTTGGATACAATCATACAGATCTTCTCATTCTATTTTTTTAAAAGTTTTTTAAGAAACAGATCTTAAGCTTCTTGATGGTCTGCAGAGTTGCAACTTTCTTGTTATGCAGGAAGGTGCTAGCCCATGTAAAGGCTTTGAAGGTTAACAAAAGAATATTGTATTTGACGTGGCAACAAACTGGAAGCCAGTGTAATTTATTGCTTTAGAACTGGCGTGATATGATCATGTTATAAGACAAGAGGCACAGTTTTGGACAGCTTGCAGAAATTGAGGAAGGTCATAAAGTAAGGAGTAACAGTATTGTCTAATTTAGAGATGTGAAGAATATAATGGTCAATATTGCTTAGTGTATCAGACATGCACTTTTTAAGTCTGTCCCTTTTGAGGGCTAACCTGTGATGTTCCTTGGTGCATCTGTTCATAGCGTTTTTCAGGTTAGTCTTCGAAGGTACAGACATTAACTAAGCAGCATGGACTGTTATATTCTTCAAAAGTCTATTGATCAGAATGTGAAAAAAGGGGTGAAGAAATTCATCGAAACCCACAGAAAGAAATTTAAGAACCTCTAATTTAGAGGTAATAAAATGAATGAACTAATTTTGTGTAGTTCCAGAAAATATCCAACCCCTCTCCCCCACGGAGGGCAATGGAAATTCAGAGGGGAAGGAGACAATTTCCAAGGGGGTACGGGTGGCCTTTTGAGCCTTTTTTCTGGGGGCTCCCAGTAAAATTGATAAGCAAGCTATTAGTTATGTTACTTCAAAGGGTTGAGTTTGATCGTCCGGGTGAACGTAGTCCTGAATAGGACTGTTGTTGTTGACAGTGACTGACGTTTCGACAACCTGTGCGGTAGTCATCTTCAGAGTCAAAGTGAGTTGTATCATGTCAGTTGATGGTATTATACCGATAACCAGTTGATGGTATTATACCGATAATTAATTATTATACCAGTTGATGGTATTATACCTATAACCACTTTACGGCGACTGCTTACTAATGTCAAGGACAAAGACAAACCGGAGGACAGACAGGGAGCAGTATTCAAGATCAAATGCTGCGACTGCCAGGCTTCTTACATTGGTGAAACCGGCAGAAACCTAAGCACGCGAGTGACCGAACACAAACGCGCGACGAGGAATGGTGATGTCAACAATCACATTGCTGAGCACCATTTAAAGATGAAACATCAAATTGACTGGGACTCTGCGACATGTATAACGTATTCTACAGACTACTATCAACATCTTACTTTAGAAAGCTGGTTTACTAACTTAGAACAAACGCCACTGAATTGTAGTCAACAGTTACCAACGCCGTACAAACGACTTATTGATGAGATCAAGCAAAACTAACTATGAGAGAACAACTGGAGAACTGACAATTTGACTAACAATAGACGACTGTTTAACTGTGACAATAGACGGATTGAATCACACCAGTCACTGATTACGAGTCTTCATAGCCAATAACATCACGGCTTAACTGACAGACAACCAATAACATCGCAACATAATTGACCAATCAGATCAATAACCAGAGTATAATACCATCAACTGACGTGATACAACTCACTTTGACTCTGAAGATGACTACCGCACAGGTTGTCGAAACGTCAGTCACTGTCAACAACAACAGTCCTATTCAGGACTACGTTCACCCGGACGATCAAACTCAACCCTCTGAAATGACTCCTGGGTTCAAACCTTTCACAGTTATGTTACTGTTAATTGGTGTTTCAAACTGTTTGATTCTATTGTATCTAATCCAGGCCATAAGTTGCATCATTTTCTTCCTCGCAAGAACTATTGTCATTATAACCTTACAAGACAACGCCACTTTGCAAATCCAGTCATGCACACCAAGCATTTTTGTAGCACATTTCTGCCATCTATGTGCAGGCGTTAGCAGTCTTTTTTTGTGTAAAGTTTAATTCACCTAAAGTATAATTTTTATAAATTAGAATTCTAAAGTATAATTTTGTACATTTTTTAGTACATTTTCATATTTTAATTCATGCAATTCAGCCTTGGTGGGCTGACATATGATTTGAATTAAAGCTATCTATCTATATCTATCCATCTATCTTCAAAGCAATTTTATTATTGTTTCCATCAATGATCTTTTATTTACGGTCAGCTGAGTGCATTTTTCATGGCTTGCACAATAGTTCATGCAAAAAGATGGTCATTGTCTCGTGAATAAAATTCCGCTTATCTACCTGTTGCCTTGTTACACAATATATTGTGGTATTCAATGTAATATGATCATGTTCTAATAAGCCCTCTTCTGACATGTTTTCAACTGAAAGGAAGCAACTGAACTTTTCTTGTTTGAGAGATGATATCACTTGTGACATGTACGGCTGTACTGCCTCCATGCTTCTCAGTGACTTACTGTTCATAAAGAACTAAGAAAGACCTGTACAAGGCAATAACCAGATTATTTGACACTGTATTAACATAAATAAAAAAGATTTTTTCTCTCTTTATCGCAGAAACCACTATCTATCGCATACAAGTATAATGCAACAGCATTTTTGAGGAAAGTATTTTTCCCAGGGGGATCCAACCAATTTAGAAAATTGCAGAAATTCATGGGGCTGGGGGATATTACAAGCACCCCTTGAAATGGAAATTCCATAGGGGGGAATTTAAAACAAAAGTGCCCTCTGCAGGGGGTATGGATATTTTTGGAACTACACATTTCAGATTTCCTTTCTCATTAAGCTTGCTTTTCAAATGTCGGGAAAATCCCAGACAATCGGGCATTTAACTTTTTGCTGACCATCAGACATGTACATATCAGAGAGTTCCCAAAGTCTGTCCCAGATTCTCAAGGGACGCTGTTTACAGTCATATGGGTATCCGCGCATTTTGAGCATCCCCATTCCCAAAAACTCTAGTGATATGGACATCCCCTTCTCATATTACCTTGGCGTTTTGGATTAGGGTTAGGGTTACAGGGGATGCCTATATCACTGGGGTTTTGGGAATGAGGATGCCCAAACTGTGGGGATGTCCATATCACTGTCTCAATGCCGCATTTATGTATGATAGGGGGACTGAAGTGCAGCAATTTAGAATATTGGTAATGAGCGGAATCCATTGCCAACGTCCCTGACATCCTGACGTGGGATGTGTCAGGAAAATATAAATGTTCCTGATTCTCCAGATGTGTCCCCGATTATCCCAGACAAATGGGGATATCTATGATTTCGAGTTTTCTTTAGTCGGCAAAATCTGGGACGTCCGGGAAACAAAAAAATCCCGGATTGTCTTGGATTTTTCTGACATATGAAAACCAGGCTTTAAAGATTCTACACATTTAATACCTGCGGAAAAATTTTAATCTAATCCTCAAACAAAATTCTTTACAGTTCAATAAATGGACCTATCTACAGACCCAGATATTAAAATGAAAATTCTCAGCCAAACTATCTTTAAACCGACTGTTTGGAAATATTACATAGATGATATTTTTCCCTGTGGGACCAAGATTCAATGAAAAAACTATCCTATAATTATCCTTGATGCAAAGACACATTTTAAACAAACAGAAACCAGTTCACACATTTCACCTTTTGTCACCCACCAAGTGACAAGCAACATGTGATACACGAAAGTTCAGGTTTTGGACAAGGACTATTAAAGATCAGAACAGTTTGCATGTGGATATTATACTATCAAACTCAAATCACTATTTTAAAAAGAGCTCTGCTCTAATGAATGAGTAGACTGTCTTTACTATTTATATACAGTACTAGTGTAAATTTAACCATGTTTATTCATTTATTTTAATTTTATTTTTTTCTCTTAGTTTGTGAAATTTCCTTATTCAGGATCTTGCAAGTTATGAATAATTTAGATGTGGATGAAACTGTTACCAGAAATCAAATTCACATTTAAGGAGTCAACACTCCTGAAACAAAACAACAAGGAGGAAAAAGAAATGCTTATTATGACACAATAACAACCCTCGGTGTCTACTTTTAAAGACTCTGAAATGAAAAACAGGAATCTTATACAAACTAACTAACTACGCTTACAAACTAACTAGTATTTTTAAGCAAAATTTTAATAGATTTGAAAAAGATGGAGGTTTGTATCAAAACAAGATCAACCTCAACCTAAAGTTTCTCCCCTCCACTAACTATGCTCAGCCTCCCGTTCACACAAAAGCTAGTACACTAAGCCCACGTCACAACTGTAGAATCACAACTGTAGAATGTCCTATTACCGTAGTTTTCATCATCTGGGTTTCAGGTTTTCGTTCTATAGGTCGCCGTTTCCCAGATATCCCTATAGATTAACCAGTACAAGCTAGTGACAGATTATTTTTCATCAAATTATGCTCTAAGGTGCTCAAGCTAGATTCTAAGCGGCTAAAAACGTACGGCTTTTTCATAAACTTACCAACTCATGCGACCGGCAGAATTTGAAGCTACGTTTCGTCAAAAGCTAAAAGCTATTCCTAATTTTTGCAACGTGGCGTATCAATAACATACTAAAGCTTTCCTACCTTAAGTATCAACATTTCGCTGCGTTGATTAAATCACAAGCTGAAGCGTAAGGGAAGATGAAGTCAACAAAAGAAGTTTATCCATTATTGGTGGCCGCCATCTTGATTTTACACCGATAGGGGCCTGGTGAGAGTGTAAAGAAACAAAGAAAACAACTGTCAGGGACCCTATGGGGAAAGTTGACGGTGTCGGGCAGACCCCAAGCAGATGGTTTCGTTGGTTGTCTGTCTTTTGTTCTTTTCTTTTTCTTTTCCTTTTTTTTTTTTTTCATCACAGTGAATCCATAGCATTTTTGAGATCGTTCTGCGAGAAGATTTGAATCTCCCGTGAGCGATCACCCAAAATGTGAAGATTCAGTGGTCGCTTTAAACGAGCGCTTACGGAAGGAGCGGACTGGCTCGAACCACGGGGGATCTTTTCAGAGGTGAGGTCCCGCCTAGGCTTTCATAGATTGTGTTAGCATAATTTTTAGCATAATTTTCCCCATTTTTTAAAACATAGGACTGCTAGCATAATTCGCATACCGTAAAATTCCGAAAATAAGCCCCGGGGCTTATATTTTTCAAAGGCCCTTTTTAAGGGGCTTATTTTTGGAGGGGCTTATATTCGGAGGAGCTTATCTACGGAGGGAAATTTGCGTTTCAAAATCGATTGGGCTAGCCTTATAGTTGGAAGTGAATTTACCGTTTTTGCTTTGTTTTACTTTGTATTTGAGGACAATTTTCCAAGTACAAGCCCCCGGGGGGCTTATATTTGGATGGGCTTGTACGTAGAGGGGATTATTTTCGGAATTTTACGGTATTTTGATATATAGTTATCGGAACATTTTTGGGTTTTGACAGGCACGTTGATCCTCAAATCCTAATTATACGCTGACGTAGTTCGATGTTTTAGAGGTATCGTATTTACTCGAATAGACGCCGCCCTCAAATAGACGCCGCACTCAAATAGACGCCGCACTTGAGACTCGAAATATTAATAGACGCCGCCCCCGAATAGACGCCGCGTCTACGGTGCGGCGTTTATTTGAGGAAATAATGATTTATAATAATTATTAAAGAAAAGTCTATTTCAAGTTTAAACCAGCAATGGAAATTTATTTTCTTTTAGAACAACATTTTTTAGTTCAAATCGACTGTACTTTTTTGCATTTTGTTAAGTTCTCTTTCAAGAATTTTTGCAACGCGTAATTAACTTTGTGTAAAAATCACAATTGAATAGACAAAATGAACAACATTTATATATTGAGATTTGTTACTGTTACCCAGTAAAAAAGTTACCATATGTAGTATGATATTTAGTACTGAATAAAGTGATTTTTGAGTAAACGCCGCCCTCGAATAAACGCCGCACAGGGTTCGCGAAAAATGAAATAAACGCCGCGGCGTCTATTCGAGTAAAGAAATGGGGACCTGGGACTAGGGTGCACGGAAAAAGAGAGTCCCATGGTGGACTCCCTAAACTCCCATGGTGTTGTCCCAAGGAAGAGGTCATGGCAAACCATGTCGGTCCCAATACCTCTCATAGGCAAGGCTACAAAATGGCGTCAGCTTTGCCAGCCGATTCTAGCGAAACCTTACAGCTCTCTCAGAGAAATGACGAGCCCGAACCAGCCACAAAGACCAGAGACCGTTATATATTGTAGCTAACAAGAGTAAACGGCTTCTGGTTAAAGAAAATGTATTTTTGGACTTATTTGCCATGGTTTTTTAAGAGCACAATTTTAAAAAAGTAGCATAATTTGGAAAAACGAGCATAATTTTAGCATAATTTGGCCAAAAAAAGAGCAGTGCTACTGGCATAATATGCTACTTTTCATAGCACAATCTATAATAGCCTAGTCCCGACACCTATGTCTTTCGAAAAGACTCAAGTTCCCCTAGGATGACCAGACAGGTACAAATTTTATAGCGCCCCTTAGAATGCATTTCTAGAGATCTTAAAGTATTTTGGATAGCCTCAAAAACGACTCCAGTGTATTTAGGAGGAAACCGTCGTTGGGTGCCCCTGATAATTTTCTTCCGAAAACTGCAGTGGTTTGGTGCCCCGGTGGATTGGAAACGCTTACCACACAGGTTAGGAAGATAGGGACGATGCATCCTGACTCCTGAGGGAGGATACTCCCATATACGGGGATGTGCCGCTTGACAGGGTATAGTTTTTGTTCTCCGCCGTGTGCTAAAAAAGGTATATAATTTCGCGTGACTCATCCTAAACTGGTTATGTAATTTCTTGCGAGTCTGTCTTAATTATAAATAGGATATTGCATGTACTGCAAGTATACAAAAGTAATTGCAATTACCAACAAATGACTTTTAATTAAAAAAAGCGTGTATCTTGTCCTCTTTCCCGAACAGAGTATTTAGTTTCGGATTTATTGCCTTTAACAGGCGCAGAGTTTCACCAACCCCCCCCCCCCCACCCAAAAGTCGGCAATGAATGAGAACGGCAAAATCCCGCAGATCATTAACCTGCTCAGTACTGTGCTCCAAGGCATTCGTTTAAATATCAATGCTCTACCATTTACTCTCGCTCCCGGAGATACCAAGGTTCTCCTGTCCCAAATTAATATTAAAGTCAACTCTGTAATACAGAGCTTTCACTCTTTATGCCCCTTTGAATGTACATGAACGGAAGACCAGGAAGGGGAGGGGGTACAGTTGCTCCGTAGCCCCTCATGTTTTCAAACCCGGCGACATAGGCCACTTGCCTGCCTACTAATGCATTGTCACAAATCGATTACTGACCAATAGACACTGTGAGGATTGCAAAGAGGTTGGTGACAACGAACGACGCAAAGGGAATTTTGGAAAATCCCGATTAGGGGTATGCGTATGGCTGAGTGGAAGATGAGCCCCCCACCCCTCCCCCTCGTTTCAAAACGCTCTGTCGCCTCTGAATAAATATTCGGCTTTCTTTTTGTTTCGTTCGAGGAGTCAAACCTGACGATTACCCGACGTTTCGCAACAAAATCGGAGGCCGAAAAGGCACCTTGATTTAATGAAAAGAAAACTTTCTATACAATTCAGAAATGTTTCAAAGACAAGAAAGCCTTGAGAATTTGCCGGAGTTGAATTGTTTAAAACGAATTGCAGTTCAGAAAAAGAAAGGCAAATTTGTCTCAATGCGTTTAAAATCGTCCATGAAACATCGCATTGTTTTTAAAGCTTGATGGTCAGATCATGTAGTTACGGAAAGAAGATAAACTAAAAATTATGACTAACGGAGTTGTTTTATTTTGAAAACACAATTGACTATTTATAAGTAACGAAAAGTATTGAAGATTAAACTATCTAAAACACGCTAATAATTCATAAAAAAAACAATTAAAAAGAAATTATCTTTATATCTGCTAAAGACACCGCTACACTTTGCGTCCAACTTTTTTTAGACCAAAATAACCCCGAGTTCATGTATATCGGATACGCTGAAGCCGTTTAAAACATTCGCAGTAGTGTATTATCAGGTTTAAAAACGCGAGGCGACACTCTGGCTCGTTTTTTTTAAACAGTACGGAAAGAACTGAAAATAAAAGACATGATGAAAGAACGCGGAACAAAACCATAAAACCCCGGAACACCCACTTAAAATCTTCAAAATTTGTTAAAAGGCGTGAGTTCCGGTCTATCTGACCCAATCTACAATCTTCCGTTTTTTCAGTTACAGAGACAGTATGTACACTGTACAAGACTAACGAAATCATTGTAACGCACTATACGCGCAACTTCTGCAATACGAGTTTTACATATATTGTGAGGTTCGCTCCTCAATTAAAGTGCATGTCCCTCTCAATTCAACGCGATATTGGCAACATAATGCTCAAAACAAAATAATTGTTAATGATATTCTATTCTCATAAACAAACACTCACTCAAGGAAAATGAAAATTCATTCACACCAAAGACTGTTGTATTCGATAACACGCTATAGAAACTGGCCTCAATAATTGTTCTTTTTGAAGCAAAAACATTTAATGACCATGCCGCAAAATTAAATGTTTGCTTCCTTGGCTACACCGTAATTTTTAGGGAGTCATAATAACTCCAAAAATGGAGTAAAAATTTTAGGTACAGGATAGCCCCTTTTTGGGGGTTATTTTAACACCTAATTTAACTCCGAATTTGGGGTCATTTTTACTCCTGAAAAAGAGTTCTTTTTAAGCCCAGTCTGGAGTTAAAATAACTCCGAAATGGGGTTACTTTTACTCCTTACATGGGTTGTTTTTACTCTTTTTGGAGTTAATTTAACTCTGAAAGTGGAGTAAAACTTTTAGGTACAGGATAACTCCTTTTTGGGGGTTATTTCAACTCCTCAATATATGGGGTCACTTTTACTCCTGAAAAACAGTTCTTTAAACTCCTTCTTGGAGTTAAAATAACTCCACTATAAGGAGTTAAATTAGCCCCACTAGAGGAGTTATTGTAACTCCTTGAAAATTACTAGTGTGTCAACGGTTTATACATTAATTAAAATGAATAATATTATGACGTTAATAAAAATTTCTTTCCCGGTAATGAAGGTCAAAAGGTGTAAATCTTGTTGCACTAACATCAACTTCTTCCGCCAAAGAATAAGACAGACTCTCCCTTCGGTGAGAATATTTGTGTGACCTTCTTGAAGTGTGCATTCTTTCACGTCTTCCAAGGGTTCCGCTTGCTATAAAACAGTTGCTATGAATTTCTCATTCCTAAGGCTTTTCCTCCAGTGTGAACACTTTTATGATCACTTGGGCTTTGGATTTGGATCAAACACTCCCTACACTGTTAACGTTATGGGGGCTTCTCTCCAGCGTGACCTCGTTCATGCCTCCTTAGGCTTCTTACTTGGCTAAAACATTTGCCAGGCTGTTTACATTCCTAAGGCTTTTCCCCAGTGTGAACTCTTTCGTGGGTCCTTAGGTTTGACAGATGAGTAAAGCACTTGCCACACTGTTTACATTTATAAGGTTTTTCTCCACTGTGAACTACTTCATGACTCCTTAGACTTGCTACTCGGCAAAAACACTTGTCACACTGTTTACATTTGTAAGGCTTTTCCCCAGTGTGAACTCTTTCATGTCTCCTTAGGTTTGATAGCTGAGTAAAGCACTTGTCACACTGTTTACATTTATAACGTTTTTCCCCAGTGTGAATTCTTTCATGTGCCCTTAGGTTTGATACATGAGTAAAGCACTTTCCACATTGTTTACATTCATAAGGCCTTTCCCCAGTGTGAACTCTTTCATGACTCTTTAGGTGTGCTACTAGGCTAAAACATTTCTCACATTGTTTACATTCGTAAGGCTTTTCCCCAGTGTGAACTCTTTCATGACTCCTTAGGCTTGATACCTGGGTAAAACACTTGTCACACTGTTTACATTCGTAAGACTTTACTCCAGTGTGAACTCTTTCATGTGTCCTTAGGTTTGATACCTGAGTAAAGCACTTGCCACACTCTTTACATTCATAAGGCTTTTCCCCAGAGTGAACTCTTTTATGACTCTGTAGGTTTGATACACAAGTAAAGCACTTGCCGCACTGTTTACATTCGTAAGGCTTTTCCCCATTGTGAACTCTTTCATGACGCCTTAAGTCTTCAGCTGCACTAAAACATTTGTCACATTGTTTACATTTGTAAGGCTTTACTCCAGTGTGAACTATTTCATGTCTCCTTAAGTTTGATAGCTGAGTAAAGCACTTGTCACACTGTTTACATTTATAGGGCTTTTCCCCAAAGTGAACTCGTTCGTGTCTCCTAAGGTTTCCTGCTATGTAAAAACACTTATTACATTGTCTACATTCGTAAGGCTTTTCCCCAGTGTGAACTCTTTCATGGCTCCTTAAGTCACCAACTTCACTAAAACACTTGTCACATTGTTTACATTTGTACGGCTTTACTCCAGTGTGAACTCTTTCATGTCTCCTTAAGTTTGATAGCTGAGTAAAGCACTTGTCACACTGTTTACATTTATAGGGCTTTTCCCCAAAGTGAACTCGTTCGTGTCTCCTAAGGTTTCCTGATATGTAAAAACACTTATTACATTGTTTACATTCGTGAGGCTTTTCCCCAGTGTGAATTCTTTCATGGCTCCTTAAGTCACCAGCTTCACTAAAACACTTGTCACATTGTTTACATTTGTGCGGCTTTACTCCAGTGTGAACTCTTTCATGTCTCCTTAGGTCTCTAGTTTCACTAAAACATTTGTCACATTGTTTACATTTGTAAGGCTTTTCCGAAGTGTGGACTTTTTTATGTCTCCTTAGGTTTGATAGCTGAGTAAAGCACTTGTCACATTGTTTACATTTATAAGGCTTTTCCCCAGTGTGAACTCGTTCATGAGGCCTTAGGCGAGATAAGTGAGTAAAGCACTTGCCACACTGTTTACATTCATAACGCTTTTCCACAGTATGAACTCTTTCATGACACCTTAGACTTGCTACTCGGTAAAAACACTTCTCACAATGTTTACATTGGTGAGGCTTTTCCGCAGTATGATTTCTTTCATGACTCCTTAGGTGGCCTGATTCAGTAAAACATTTGTCAGACTGTTTACATTTGTAAGGCTTTTCCCCAGTATGAACTCTTTCATGTCTCTTTAGGTCTCCTGCTTGACTAAAACATTTGTCACACTGTTTACATTTGTAAGGCTTTTCCGCAGTATGAACTCTTTCATGTTTCCTTTGGGTTCCTGCTTCACTAAAACATTTGTCACACTGTTTACATTTATAAGGCTTTTCCCCAGTATGAACTCTTTCATGTCTCTTTAGGTCTCCTGCTTGACTAAAACATTTGTCACACTGTTTACATTTGTAAGGCTTTTCCCCAGTATGAACTCTTTCATGTCTCTTTAGGTCTCCTGCTTGACTAAAACATTTGTCACACTGTTTACATTTGTAAGGCTTTTCCGCAGTATGAACTCTTTCATGTTTCCTTAGGGTTCCTGCTTCACTAAAACATTTGTCACACTGTTTACATTTATAAGGCTTTTCCCCAGTATGAACTCTTTCATGTCTCCTTAGGGTTCCTGTTTCACTAAAACATTTGTCACACTGTTTACATTTGTAAGGCTTTTCCCCAGTATGAACTCTTTCATGTCTCCTAAGCTTTGCTGCTTTACTAAAACACTTTTCACACTGTTCACATTTGTAAGGCTTTTCTCCAGTGTGAACTCGTTTATGTGTCCTAAGGTCTCCTGCTTCACTAAAACACTTTTCACACTGTTTACATTTGTAAGGCTTTTCCCCAGTGTGAACTCGTTCATGTGTCCTAAGAGTTCCTGCTTTGCTAAAACACTTGCCACATTGTTTACATTCATAAGGCTTCTCACCAGTGTGGACTCGTTCATGATCTCCCAGGTGTTCTGGACCACTAAAACATTTGTCACAGTATTTACAGTCATAAGGCTTTTTCCCAGTGTGAACTCTTTCATGTCTCCTTAGGTGTCTTGCTTCGCTAAAACACTTGCCACACTGTTTACACGTAAAAGACATTTGGCTAGCACTTCTGGTATCGTCTTCTGGTTAAGTTTCCTATCAATACAGAAAGAGTTGGACATTGCAAAAACTTTGCAGCAAGTGTAACACACTGTTTTAGGACATACCGGTATCCTGTAGCTGAGAAATTTAAGAATCTGAAAGACCTTCCTCAAAAATAAAATTGGACACCATACCGAGAAAGAGCATGCACTAATAAAGGTGACGTGTATCTTTTGCTTACTTGCTGATTTATCTGAACTTTCTCTGTGCTTCATTAAATAGTACATATTTCTAACAAGGAAAGGCTTCTCATGCATTGTTAGTAGGGAAAGATCTGTAACACCGTTTGCTCAACATTGTTTATTTTTTATGTAGACGTTACCTTAGTTTCGAAAGGAAAGAGAAGGTAATCTTGCTTAAAAATCACAATGGCTGTGCAAAAGCAATCATCCAAAAACAAGTTAATATCAATAATAATATTAGTAATAGAATAATTAATAATATTAGTCGATTCTTGCCAAACACACACAAGGATATTGCTGTTTTAGGTCAATTATGGGCTGAAGTCATTACTTACTGTCTTTACTCATTTAAAAAAAGGCCCCTGTAGAGTTATGAAGAAGATAACAACAAGATCAGCAGCACTGACACCACCTCTAAATAGAACACAGACGCTTCGATGCCTTGGATACAATCATACAGATATGCTAATTCTAGTCGTTTTTATTTTCTTAGAAACAGATCTCAAGCTTCTTGATGGTCTGCAGAGTTGCAACTTTTCTGTTTTGTAGGAAGGTGCTAGCCCATGTACAGCTTTGAAGGTTAACAAAAGAATCATGTATTTGATGTGGCAATAAACCGGAAGCCAGTGTAATTGCTTTAGAACTGGCGTGATATGACCATGTTATATAAAAAAGGCAAGCACCACAGTTTTGGACAGCTTGCAGAAGTTGAGGAAGGTCATAAAGGAATTACAATATTGTCTAATTTAGGGTTGTGATGACTATAACGGTCAATACTGCTTAGTGTTTCAGATGTGCACTTTATATGTGTCTCCCTTTCAAGGACTTACCTGTGATGTTCTTTGGTGCGTCTGTTGATAGCGTTTTTTAGGTTAGTCCTAGAAGGGACGGACTTAAAGAGGGCATTTTGAAATACTAAGTAGCATTGACTGTTATAGTCTTTACAAGCCTATTGAAAAAGGGGTGAAGGAATTAATCAAAACCCACAAAAAGAAACATAAAAGGCGTGAACTAATATTGTGTAGTTCCAGAAAATATCCACAACCACCCCCCGCCCCCCCCCTCACGGAGGGCGACAGAAATTCAGAGGGAAAGGGGGATCCAAAAGGAAACAATTTCCGAGGGGGTCTGAGGTGACCTCTCGAGCCTTTTTCCGGGGGCTTTTTTCCTGAGTGCTTTTTTCACGGCTTGCATGATAGTTTATGTAAAATGATTGTTGTTGGCTCGTAAATAAAATTAGCCCGTAGTAGCCTGAGAAAACAGCCGATATTTCGTGACGCCACCAACAGTTTCCCTGGAAAATGACGTTTGAGAAATGAGCATAGAAATCCCATACTGCTGGCGTGTCACTACCCAGATCTGGGTAATGCTTCTGACTGTTTGTGCCAAATGGGAAATTTGTTTCAACCAGTCAGAAGCACTACCCAGATCTGGGTAGTGACGCGCCATCAGTATGGAATTTCTGCACTCGTTTCTCAGGCGTCATTTTGCAGGAAAAGTGTTGCTGGCGTCGCAATATGTCGGCCGTTTTCTCTCTATCGCAGAAACAATTATCTATCACATAAAAGTATAGTGCAACAGCATTTTTGAGGAAAGTATTCTTTCCAAGGGGTATCCAACCAAGTTGGAAAATTAAAGAAATTACAGGGGGTTGGGGATATGGCAAGCACCTCCTGAAATGGAAATTCCAGGGGTGGGGGGGGAGTTTAAAAAAGTGCCCTTCTTGGGGGGTATGGATATTTTTGGAACTGCACATTTCAGATTTCCCTTCTCATTAAAGCTACTACACATTTAATACCTGCAAAAATTTATAGATTAATCCTCAAACAAAATTCTTTCCAGTTCAATAAATAGACCTATCTAAAGACCCAAATATTAAAAAATCTGAGCAAAACCGTCTTTAAAAACCAGTGGTTTGGAAGTATTATATAGATGATATTTTTCCCTATGGAACCAAGATCTAACAACAAAACTATCCTACAATAATATTATCCTTGATACACATTTTAAACAAACAGAAACCTGTTCACAAATTTCACCATTTGTCACCCACCAATTTTTAATAACGGATTTGTCAAAGAAGCCTTGAGAAGCCTACAAACAAATTCTTCAGCAAAAAACCTTTGAGGTAAATATTTCAACTTTCAAGAAAGCACTTAACAATGGATAGAGGCTACCCACACACTTTGATAGAAGAACTACTGTTTGAACCTATGTCCATCACCAGTAACTCCCTTGGACCCACCACTCCCATCCACTTAAGTTTACTCCACTCCAAGCAACAAGTGATGCATACAAGTTCAGCTTTTTGCCAAGAACGATAAAAGATTGGAAGAGTTTGCATGTGAACATTATACAATCAAATTCAATTCACTGTTTGAAAAAAAACGCTAGGCTCTGCCCTAATGAATGAGCAGACTGTCCTTTGTTATTTACATACTGTTATTTTTCATTTGTTTATTTATTAATATCTTTTTTTGGTCACAGTTTGTAAAATGTCCTTATTCAGGATCTTGCAAGTTATGAATGTAGATGTAGATGAAACTGTTATCACAAAACAAATTCACATAAAGGGAATCAACACTCCTGAAACAAAACAACAAGGAGGAAAAAAAGCCTACCATGACACAATAACAACTTATTGAAAACAGGGAATCTTATACAAAACAAACCTCTACTTTGCCAAATTTTTAAAAGAACCACCTATCATTTCCTACAAGAAAGGGATTAAAGGAGATGCTCAAAAGAGCCAAGACCAGCCACCCATTGCATTTTGTCTTCCTGGAGTAGTCAATCGATAAAAATCAGTAGACCTGATTTGATCGAAATGGATTGTATCTATCAATCAGTAGAAATCGCTGACACACTTGTTTTGTTCATTGATTTATCTTGATTGAAAATTACTGATTTTGTCTATTTATATCGGGAGAGAGATCTGTTCATCAAAAAATGAAAAATGAATTCATCCAAACAGTAAATTTATGGACAATTGGGTTGCAATTGAGAGTCAAAGGATCAAACATTTATTACTTTTTAAAGAAATCTTTAAGAAAATCTTATCTCTTCTTCACTGAAAACCAGGTTTAAAATCTTCATCCGATGGCTGATATTGGCAAGGTTTGTAGGAGTCCAGTATTTCACGATTTAGATCTGCCACCCTTGTAATTTAATGTCGGTGTAGTTCCGGGTGTAATTACCTCCAGGAGTAGTCAATAGATAAAAATCGAAATCCATGTTTTTTTTATTACCAATCAAGTGAATTTTATTGATTGATAATGGAAAAGGGTGAAAATCTTTCAAGGAAACATCATTTAGCCTACCCTCAGACAACCTTAAGGAACATCTGAATTTCATGCTAGGGAGTCTATATCTAAGGTTGTATTTTTCACAATACTTGCTTGCAAGAACTAAATGTAATTAAAGGGAACTGTTTTTGTTATTATGTACAAGATAAAGGGTTTTAGGAATAAAGTTGTGTGTGTGGTAGTCTTCACATTTCTCAGTTTCATGTTTGCTGATCAGTTATTATTTACTCCTGGATGTGTTTTCTCACCTCTACTAACTCATGCCAAAAACAATGATGGCAGACTTCCGTCATAAATCCTGTAAATGTTGATTGCTACCGATTTTTAGCGATTGACTACTCTGGGTGTCTTGTTGATCTGACATGAAAACTTTGTCCCAGTCTTCCGCTCCAATAAGAAAAGTTAAATGGATGGGGGGGGGGTGCAGAGTGGAGTGCCGGGTGGTCAAAGTCACAAGTTGAAAGTTAGTGAGTATTCCAAACTTAATTTTTCGTGCTTCAGAAATGGACCATTTATTTTGACTTTTCAAGTTATAAACTGACTTTTTGAATCAAATCCCTAGTGCATAAAAGGACTTATGATTTTTGCTCTGACTTTTCCTTTTAAAGATCGACTTTGAAGATTGACGTTTGGTTTTTTATGGCCCTCGTTGGCTGCCATAGAGTAAAAGGTACTGAATAAGTTGAAAAGTGACAAGAGGGAGAAATTTAATCTTTTTTGCAGATCATAGTACTTCCGTATGTCCCCAGTCACTGCATGGTTGTGTGTGATAATATTATATTACCCATTTCCAAAAGAAAAGAACATTCAAAATGAGTTTACTATATACGGGTTCATTTTTGTGGAAGAAGAAACTTATTATAACAAAATTAATAGCCCAGTTTACAGTTACAGGTGGAAACGAGGTTAAAGTTGAGCTTGTTTTGAAACAACCCTTCCTGTTTTGGTATGTATATTATTTTGTTCTCATCCTAACTAGTATTTTTAAGCAAAATATACATTTGGAAAAGATGGAGCTTTGTATCAAAACAAGGTCAACTTCAGCCGTCAGTTAGTCCTCTGCACTAACTATGCTCAGCCTCATGTTCACACAAAGGCTAGCACACTAAGCCTACAACTGTAAAAACTCCTATTACCGTAGTTTTCATTATCGGGCTTTCAGGTTTTCGTTCTATCACAGGGCGCCCACACAATGTATTTGCGTAACCGATTGTTTTTTTATAGTAAATGTACTGGACTCACCATTTGCTTCACCTATAACGATATATTGCTATGTATGCATATAAATCAATGTTGAAAACGTTGAATTACCTTACCTGTGGTATATCGTCGTCCTTTGCCTCAAATGTATCATTATAGGTGAAGCAAATGGTAAATCCAGTACATTTACTATAAAATAACTAGCCTGCGTAGCAGGCCCAAGAAAGGGTATAAATTAACAATCAGTTACACACAAATATTGTGTGGTTGCCCTGTGGATCTATAGGTCGTCGTTTCCTAGATATCCCCAAAGATGAAGCTGTACAAGCCAATAACAGATTATTCTTCATCAAGTTATGCTCTAAGGTGTTCAATTTACATCCTAAGCGACTAAAAACTCACGGCTTACCAAGAATACCAACTCACAGGGTCGGCCAGGGGGGGTAGTGGTATACCAGTATACTAAAAATTCGCCACAATACCCTCAAATACCCTAAATTCATCCAAATAATACCGAAAATTATACTCAGGTATACTTTATACCTGAAATTCAAAGAAAGTGATATACCAGATACCCGTATTTAAGCTGCAGTATATACCGTATACCCCATTCAAAAAGCCCCTGGATACCGTATACTCCAAAACCCTGGCCAACCCTAAACTCACGAGAGCCACCTCAGTCTGAAGCTACGCTTCGTCAGAAGCTAAACCTAAAACGCTCTTGCTAATTTTTTCAATGTGACGTATCAATAGCATATTAAAAGCTTCCCTACCTTAAGTAACAAGATTTCGCTGTGTTGATTAAATCAGACGCGTAAGAGAAGATGAAACAGCAAGAGACGTTTATCCAAAAATGGTGGCCGCCATCTTGGTCTAACACTGATAGGGGCCTGGTGAGAGCGCAAAGAACAAACTCTACTCTACTCCCAGGGACCCTATAGGGGCAGTTGACAGTGTGGGGCAGACCCAAAGCAGATGGTTTCGTCGGTTATTCTGTTTTTCGCATCTTCTTGTCTATTTCCTTTTTTCACTCACGGTGAATCCATAGCGGTTGTGTGATCCTTTTGCGCGAATAGTCGAACCTCTTCTAAAGTGAAAACTCAGTGGTCGCTGACAGAAGTAGCCTCCCCGCAGACGTCCTTTGGGGTTCGTTCGTCACGCATTCATTTCTCCCCAGCTGTCCGTTAGATTATAGATTAGGCTGAAGTCGTTACTTTATGTCTTTACTCAAATAAAAAATGCTCCTGTAGAGTTATGAAGAAGATGGCAAACAGATTTTGTTAGAGAGCAATAACCATAATACCGTATTTATTCGATTAACCGCCTTGGGCGCTTATTAAATTCTTGGACTTTGAGAATGGGCGCTTATTCGAGGCTGGGCGCTTATTAAATTTTCAACATTTTCAGCAAGTGTAGTACGTTTATTTTACAACAAAACAATAAATGGTAATAACAAAACGCGAAGATGTAACAAAGCAAGGTTTCTGTAAAATACTCTGAAGAAAACTCTGTCTTCGGGGAAGTCTCTTATTAGAACTTATTCAGGAGAACTTATTCAGTTTGGGGGGGGGTGGGAGGAGGAAAGTGGATGGGGGGGGGTGGGCGCTTTATTGAGTTTGAGCTGGATCAGGAGGGACGTGGGGAGGGGTGGGCGCTTATTCGAGGCTGTGCGCTTATTAACTTTTTCTGCCTTTAGGATAGGCGCTTATTCGAGGTGGGCGCTAATTCGAGGTTGGGCGCTTATTCGAATAAATACGGTATATTATTACTGCGTTTGTACCAATCTTAATTAAAAAAGGGCAACAGTCGAGCCTGTTTTCGTCTTAATTGTAAAGGTGACTTTCCTCGTAAGAAGACTGACCAAATCAAGTACTACTCTTTTTTAAAGCTTAATAAATGTAACTGCATTAAAGTTTTTTTAGCCAGATTAACCACTGACTTATTCTTGAAAGAGCGTTATTAATTGCATCAACCTTCCGTTTCAAAAAACCGATCGATTATCTTCAACCCAAACAGATATCGTAAGGCCTTGATAAGAATCCAAGGCCCTCAAATATTTAAATGAAGTCAAAGGACCTTCATATACCAGGTAATTTAACTTAATTTTAACTCATAAATTGTGTTGTGTTTTTTGTCCAGACGACCTGCAAAACAATTTTCCGATTACCTGACATGTTTCGAACGGAACCTTGATTTAATGAAAACAAAGCTTTCTATACAATTCAGAAATGTTTCAAAAGACAGGAAAGCCTTACGAATTTCCTGGAGTTGAATTCTTAAAGGATTGCAGTTCAGAAAAAGAAGTTTGTCTTGATGCGTTCAAAGTCGTCCATGAAACGTCGCATCGTGTGGTTATGGAAATGAGATGTACTAAAAATTATGACTAACGTTGTTGATGTTTTAATTACTTAATACAAAATTGAGGAAGAAAATGACTATTTATAAGTAACGAAACGTACTGAAGATTACACTTAACTAACCTTTCTAAAACTCATTAATAATTCATAAAGAAAAAACAAAAGAAATATTTATGTTTAATGAGCATCTTTATATCTCATAAAGACACCGCTACACTTTACTCCAAATCTAAATATAAGAGCAAGAATGAGTTCATCTATGTCAGATATGTTGAAGCCGTTCAAAAAGTGCGCAGTCGTGTATTATCAGGTTTAAAAACTCGAGGCGACACTCCTGCTCGTTTTTTAAACAATACGTAAAGAACCGAAAATAAAAGAAATGATGAAAGAACGCGGAACAAACCCATAAAACCCCGGAACACCCTTAAATAATAAACAAAAGACAAAGAAAAGTCACAAAACACATGAAGATCTCAAATATCATAAATGAATCAATAAATATTGTACGCTTAATATGTACCTAGCAAAACGGAGATCGAGTGAGAATGACGACTCACTAAAACGACCTACAAAGATTTTAGTGGAGCTCTCGCAGCGGAGCACCATGGATAAGAACATTTACTTATCTAAGTCCTGGGAGAGGCACTCTCTTATTTGTCTCAAACGGGTATGTGCCATCCAACAGGGTATGGTATTACAATGTTGAGTCTTAACAGGTATACAACACCACTACCACTATTTAGCGTGCTAAACAGGGTGGTTTATTTGTACCACCTGTCTGTTGCACTGAAGGCCTTAAACAGAATGTGAACGACGACGGTGCGCCAGGGTAAAATCTTTTTTTTATTTAAGAATGCTAGAATATAAGGCCCGAAAAAGGGTCTGTTGTCTTTAAAGGAGGTAAATTTAACTGATTTTGCTTTGAAGAGGGTTTGAAACTCTCGGTGGCACACCCCCACCCAAACTTTCTATTGACGTGTCTCGATCCCATAGGCCGTAAGTACAACTGAAATCTTTAAGTCAAAGATAATTGGGAGAAGGCATGGTTTCAGGTTACATCGTTAGGCAGTGAGGAACACACACACCACACCACTATTTGGTTTATTATGGGCGACCGCTGGAATGTTATTTAACCCTTTAAGTGGCAATAGCGACCAACATCAATTTTCTTCTAACGATATCCATACATTGTCAAAAGGAAAGGTTATGAGAATTAATAAAATGATCACCTAAAAGAAAATACTTTGATCTTTTATCAAATTCTCTCAACTAATTCTTAAAGGAAATGTATGGAGATCAGTTTGAAGAATTTGTATGTGGATATTGGGGCTTAAAGGGTTAACTTGTTTATTTTAGTTGGTTTATCACTACTTTTTTCTCGACTTCAGTAGTGGCTCTTTCAGCTATATTTCAGACAAAAGGGCTAGTAAATATTCCTATTAAGGCACCGGACTACCTCTTAAAATCTTCAAAATTTGTTAAAAAGCGTGAGTTCGGTCTATCTGACCCAATCTACAATCTTTCCTTTTTTCAGTTACAGAAACAGTATGCACACTGTACAAGACTAACGAAATCATTGTAACGCACTATACGCGTAACTTCTGCAATACGAGTTTTAGATATATTGTGAGGTTCGCTCTCCAATTAAAGTGCATGTCCCTCTCAATTCAACGCTATATTGCCAACATAATACTCAAAACAAAATAATTGTTATTGATATTCTATTGTCATAAACAAACATTCACCCAAGGAAAATGAAAATTCATTTGCACTGATGTATTACATAAAACGCCTTAGAAACTGGCCTTAATAATTGTTCTTCTTGAAGCAAAAACATTTAATGACCATGCCGCAAAATTAAATGTTCGCTTCCTTGGCTAAACGGTTTATACATTAATTAAAATGAATAATATTATGACACTAATAAAAATCTAAATCTCGGTAATGAAGGTCAAAAAATGTAAATCTTGTTGCACTAACATCAACTTCCTCAGCCAAAGAATAAGACAGGACAGACAGACTTTCCCTTCTGTGAGAATATTTGTGTGACCTTCTTGAAGTATGCATTCCTTCACGTCTTCCAAGGTTTCCGCTTTTTATAAAACAGTTGCTATGAATTTCTCGTTCCTAAGGCTTTTCCTCCAGTGTGAACACTTTTACGATCACTTGGGCTTTGGATTTGGATAAAACACTCGCTACACTGTTAACGTTATGGAGGCGTCTCTCCAGTGTGAACTCGTTCATGCCTCCTTAGGCTTCTTACTTGGCTAAAACATTTGCCAGGCTGTTTACATTCCTAAGGCTTTTCCCCACTGTGAACTCTTTCATGTGTCCTTAGACTTGCTACTCGGTAAAAACACTTGTCACACTGTTTACATTTGTAAGGCTTTTCCCCAGTGTGAACTCTTTCATGTGTCCTTAGTCTTGATACCTCTGTAAAGCACTTGCCACACTCTTTACATTCGTAAGGCATTTCCCCAGAGTGAACTCTTTTATGACTCCGTAGGTTTGATACGCGAGTAAAGCACTTGCCACACTGTTTACATTCGTAAGGCTTTACTCCAGTGTGAACTCTTTCATGTCTCCTTAGGTACCCAGTTTCACTAAAACATTTGTCACATTGTGTACATTTGTAAGGCTTTTCCCCATTGTGAACTTTTTCATGACTCTTTAGGTGTGCTACTTGGCGAAAACACTTGTCACATTGTTTACACTCGTAAGGCTTTACTCCAGTGTGAACTCTTTCATGTCTCCTTAAGTCTCCAGCTTCACTAAAACATTTGTCACATTGTTTACATTTGTAAGGCTTTTCCCCATTGTGAACTCTTTCATGACTCTTTAGGTGTGCTACCTTGCGAAAACACTTGCCACACTGTCTACACGGAAAAGACATTTGGCTAGTGCTTCTTGTATCGTCTTCTGGTTAAGTTTCCTATCAATATAATAAAAGTTGGTCATTGCGGAAACTTTGCAGAAAGTTTAAGACGCTGTTTTAAGACATATCCTACAGCTGAGAAATTCAAGAATCTAAAAGACCATCATCAAAAATAAAATTGGACACCATACCGAGAAAGAGCATACACTAATAAAGGTGACGTGTATCTTTTGCTTACTTGCTGATTTATCTAAACGTTCTCTGTGCTTCATTAATTAGTACACATTTCTAACGAGGAAAGGCTTCTCATGCATTGTTAGCCGGGAAAGATCTGTAACACCGTTTGTTCAACATTGTTTACTTTTTATGTAAATGGGTAAAATGTTTTAGATATTTGGAAGGGAAAACGTTTGGAAAAATATACTTAACAATTATTCTTCGAGCCCGAATGGGCTCTGAGTCAATAGCCCCCCCAAAAATATCAAAACTATCGAGAATAACAAATTTTAGATAGTTAAAAGCTAGAATTTAATCCTTTTTTGCCGCCAAAAAGCCCGCGCTTTTCGCTTCTAGTAGGCTATAACATATGGTTTAGTAGTAGCTCAACCAATCAGAACACAGCATAGATAATAGAACACTAGTAGGATTTTACTAAAATGTAATTATAACATAGTGGTTAGTCAGACCAAACATGTCTCCCACATGGGGTTTAATTTTTTAAACAGTTTACTTTGTCGACATTGCCTTTGTTTCAAAACAAAAGAGAAGGTAATCTTGCTTAAAAATCACAATGTCTGTGCAAAAGATATCATCCAAAAACAAGTTAATATCAATAAGCGCAAGTACCAGCAGCGGGTGTTAGATGTAGAAATGGGTTCGTTTACGCCTTTAGTGTTTGGAACCAATGGCGGAATGGGAAACGAGTGTCAGCGGTTCTTAAAGCATCTCGCAGACAAGATAGCTCAGAAAGACACCGAGCCTTATCATGTTGTAATCACTTGGCTCAGGACACAGATCTCGTTTGAACTCTTAAGATCGGTACATGCATGCGTCAGAGGTTCGCGAGCGCCGTTTCGTAGCAAGATAGAGCAATCATTAGACTGTAAAATAAATGCCGCTAGTGCGGATATCTGAAATAAGTGTCTATATGCTTTTACTTAGGGCTTTTTATGGACACTGGTTTAGCCGTCATTAGTATAATTCGATTGTATGATCTTAATATCTCTGCATAATGGAATTCTTAATTTTATAGAATTTTGAACTTTTATTATTAATTATATCTATTTCCTCTTCTTTTATGTAAGGTTGAGTTACTTCTATTTTTTAGAATTTGTAAATGAATAGTTTTTTCTTTCTTCACTTATTATGTATAGGTTGATTGTAAATAGGATTTTAATTGAGGTTTTGTAATAAAGTTTTCCTTACACTTTAATAATAATATTAGTAATATAATAATTAATATAATAATTAATAATATTAGTCAATTCTTGCCATGCACACACAAGGATATTGCTGTTTTAGGTCAATTATGGGCTGAAGTCATTACTTAATGTCTTTACTCATATACAAAAATGGCCCCTGTAGAGTTATGAAGAAGATAACAACAAGATCAGCAGTACTGACACCACCTTTAAATATAACACAGACGCTTGGATGCCTTGGATACAATCATACAGATCTGCTCATTCTACTCTTTTTTCTTCTCGTCTGCAGAGTTGCAACTTTTCTGTTATGTAGGAAGGTGCTAGCCCATGTAAAGCTTTGAAGGTTAACAAAAATCTTGTATTTGATGTGGCAATAAACCGGAAGCCAGTGTAATTGCTTTAGAACCGGCGGGATATTACCATGTTATATGGGCAAGCAGCACAGTTTTGGACAGCTTGCAGAAGTTGAGGAAGGTCATAAAGGAATTACAATATTGTCTAATTTAGGATTGTGATGAATATAACGGTCAATACTGCTTAGTATTTCCGACACGCACTTTTTACGTGTGTCCCTTTCAAGGACTTACCTGTGATGTTCTTTGGTGCGTCTGTTGATAGCGTTTTTCAGGTTAGTCTTCCAAGGGACAGACTTAAAGAGGGCATTTTGAAATACTAAGCAGCATTGACTGTTATAGTCTTCACAAGCCTACTGATCAGAACATGAAAAAACAGGTGAAGGAATTTATCAAAACCCACAAAAAGAAACTTAAAAACCTCTAATAAGAGGTAATAAAATGCGTGAACTAATATTGTGTAGTTCCAGAAAATATCCACAACCTCCCCCCGCCCTCATGGAGGGCGACGGAAATTCAGAGGGAAAAGGGGAGTCCAAAAGGAAACAATTTACGAGGGGGTCTGACGTGACCTCTCGAGCCTTTTTCCGGGGGCTTGCACGATAGTTTATGTAATATGATTGTTGTTGGCTCGTAAATAAAATTCTGGTTATCTATCTGTTGCTTTGTTACACAATGTACTGTGGTATTCATTGGGTGGGTTCACACTAGACCCTATAGTGCACTTGAAGTGTACTTGAAAAGCACTTGAAGTGCACTCAGCTTTTTAGTAAAAAAAGGCGTTCACACTAAAATTAACTAGTGTGAACCTACCTAATGTAATGTGGTCTTCTAATAAGCCTTCTTCTAACACGTTTTTAACTGAAAGGGAGTAATAAAATTTATTGAAGTTCACTGGTTTGAGAGACGATATCACTTGTGTTGTGTACAGCCGTACTGCTTCTTAGTGACTTACCGTTAATAATTACTTAAGAAAGACCTTTACAAGGCAGTAATTAAATTATTTGACACTGTATTAACATAATAGAAAAAATTTCCACTTTATCGTAGCCTGAGAAAACAGCCGATATTTCGTGATGCCACCAACAGTTTCCCTGCAAAATGACGTTTGAGAAATGAGCATAGAAATCCCATACTGTTGACGTGTCACTACCCAGATGTGGGTAGTACTTCTGATTGGTTGTGCCGAATAGGAAATTTGTTTCAACCAGTCAGAAGCACTACCCAGATCTGGGTAGTGACGCGTCATCAGTATGGAATTTCTGCACTCGTTTCTCAGACGTCATTTTGCAGGAAAAGTGTTGGTGGTGTAGCGATATGTCAGCAGTTTTCTCTCTATTGCAGAAACAATTATCTATCACATAAAAGTATAGTGCAACAGCATTTTTGAGGAAAGTATTCTTTCCAGGGGGTATCCAACCAAGTTGGAAAATTAAAGAAATTACAGGGGGTGGAGGATATGGCAAGCACCTCCTGAAATGGAAATTCCAGGGGGAGGGGAGTTTAAAAAAGTGCCCTTCGTGGGGGGTATGGATAATTTTGGAACTGCACATTTTAGATTTCCATTCTCATTAAAGCTACTATACATTTAATACCTGCAGAAAATTTATAGATTAATCCTCAAACAAAAGTCTTTCCAGTTCAATAAATAGACCTATCTAAAGACCCAAATATTAAAAAATCTGAGCAAAACCATCTTCAAAAACCAGTGGTTTGGAAGTATTATATAGATGATATTTTTCCCTATGGAACCAAGATCTACCAACAAAACTATCCTACAATTATCCTTGATACACATTTTAAACAAACAGAAACTAATTTTTAATAATGGATTTGTCAAAGAAGCCTTGAGAAGCCTTCAAACAAATTCTTCAGCAAAAAACCTTTGACGTAAATATTTCAACTTTCAAGAAAGTGCTTAAAGATGGATAGAGGCTATACCCACACACTTTGATAGAAAAACTACTGTTTCGACTTATGTCCATCACCAGTAACTCCAATGGACCCACCACTCCCATCCACTTAAGTTTACTCCACTCCAGGCAACAAGTGATGCATACAAGTTCAGCTTTTTGCCAAGAACGATAAAAGATTGGAAGAGTTTGCATGTGAACATTATACAATCAAACTCAATTCACTGTTTGAAAAAAAACGCTAGGCTCTGCTCTAATGAATGAGTAGACTGTCCTTTGTTATTTACATACTGTTATTTTTCATTTGTTTATTTATTTATTAATATCTTTTTTTGGTCACAGTTTGTGAAATGTCCTTATTCAGGACCTAACAAGTTATGAATGTAGATGTAGATGAAACTGTTATCAGAAATCAAATTCACATAAAGGGAATCAACACTCCTGAAACGAAACAAGAAGGAGGAAAAAAAGCCTATCATGAAACAATAACAATTTATTGCAAACAGGGAATCTTATACAAAACAAACCTCTACTTCGCCAAATTTTTAAAAGAACCACCTCTCAATTCCTACAAGAAAGGGATTAAAGGAGAAGCTCAAAAGGGCCAAGACCAGCCACCCCTCACATTTTGTCTTCCTGGAGTAGTCAATCGATAATCAGTAAACCTGATTTGATCGAAATGGATTGTATCTATCAATCAGTAGAAGCCGCTGACACACTTGTTTTGTTCATTGATTTATCTTGATTTAAAATGACTGATTTCATCTATTTATATTGGGAGATACATCTGTTCATCAAAAAATGAAAAATGAATTCATCCAAACAGTAAACTTATGGACAATTGGGTTGCAATTGAGAGTCAAAGGATCAAACATTCATTACTTTTTAAAGAAATCTTTAAGAAAATCTTATCTCTTCTTCACTGAAAACCAGGTTTAAAATCTTGATCCGATGGCTGATATTGGCAAGGTTTGTAGGAGTCCAGTATTTCACAATTTAGATCTGCCACCCTTGTAATATAATGTTGGTGTAGTTCCGGGTGTAATTACATCCAGGAGTAGTCAATAGATAAAAATCGAAATCCATGTTTTTTTATGACCAATCAAGTGAATTTTATTGATTGATAATGGAAAAGGGTGAAAATCTTTCAAGGAAACATCATTTAGCCTACCCTCAGACAACCTTAAGGAACATCTGAATTTCAGGCTAGGGAATCTATATCTAAGGTTGTATTTTTCACAATACTTGCTTGCAAGAACTAAATGTAATTAAAGGGAACTGTTTTTGTTATTATGTACAAGATAAAGGGTTTTAGGAATAAAGTTGTG